AAAATTCATTTATAATTAATTTAAATAATTTTAATGAATTTAATGAGTTTAATTAATTGAATTAATTGATTATTTCAATTTACTTGCAATTAATTTAATTAATTGCATTAATTGAATTAATTAAATATAATTAAATTAATTAAATTAATTAAATTAATTAAATTAATTAAATTAATTAAATTAATTAAATTAATTTTTCTTTGGTCCTTTTCTACTTGGAGGTTCATGTGGAGGTTGCTATTTTGATTTGGGGTTTAGGGTTTAGGGTTTAGGGTTCAGGGTTTAGGGTTTAGGGTTTAGGGTTTAGGGTTTAGGGCTACTTGTTAGAAGCAGGGTAGCTAGAGCTTTAACTGGTGTATAACCTTACTTAGAGTCCTTATCACCCTACTTATAACGACCCACGAAGCTTCAAGTAGCTAACCCCTTGAATAATATGTCGCATCTTCCGTTGCGATCCCCTAAAATAGTCCCCCAGAGAGTAGGATTCCCTTATAATGAGGAACCGAGTAAGGTACCCTAGGAAAGCTGAAGCTTGAGGGCGTTCAGAGTGCCGCAGGGGAAGGATCTGCTGCTGCAGAACACTTCATCGGGCTAGTTCTTAGTATGGAATAGGGGAATGAGGTACCCTATAGAATGGGTTTAGTATATATGGGGCCCTAATTCCCTCATTCCCTACTAAGAACCAAGGGGTCCACACGGTGTGCACACTCGGCTCCAGTGTTCACATGCGTTAGAATCATTGGGAGAAGGGTCGCTTGTAGCACCTGCAAGTCGTCACTTGTAACAGCTGCAAATCGTCACTTGTGACATCGCATGTTCCCCGGACTCCGAAAGCAGTGAAAAATGCTGTGCTTGTCACAATTGTCACTATCCAAGCACCCAAGACCTTGAGACCAAGAAATCCCGAATCCTAAGCTCTAGACCTAAGCTCTAAACCCTAAACCCGAAACTTCGCTCCAGCTCGAGGCGTGCCCACCAAATCACTTGTAACATCTGCCTTTCTTTTGGCACCAGGCAAAAGAGGCAGATGTTACAAGTGATTTGGTGGGCGGGCCTCGAGCGGGCGTGCAGTTTCCAAATCGCAGATGTTGCAAGTAGTAGGCAGTACTTGTGCTAGTTGCGGTACTGCCTTGTACGTGTTTCCAGAGTTAGTAGGAAGAATACTTGCTTGAGGCATAGAAATCGTAGCCAAAACAATAGCTCTCACGCGTCAGAACATCCAGATGTTACAGCTTGCCGATCTTGAGATGTTACAAGTAAGCCACTGTTTGAAGCTGTCAGTGCCGGGTCGTCGATACTTGGACGTTCATGGGTAGTATAAGTAGGGTTATAAGCAGCCCAATTCAGGTTACAACTATAGTCTATCGTTATCCAACTTCGAACTCTACTTATAACTACCCATGAAGTAAGTCTTCGCGCTGCGGACTGGGGTGTTTTCAAGTCTTTTGGAATCTTGGAACTCCTCACAGAAACCACTTGGGGATGAATCACTTCCCCAAGTCTTATATCCTACATGCCTGGATTAGAGCCCGTGCCGAGCTACGTGAGCTCCTCATGGCTGAATTTCCTAGGGAAAGCACCTGCAAGATGTCTTAGCAACGGGCGCCCATGGCTTGGTTGCTCTCTTAACCCTACCGAGGTTGCAAGGCTGTTTGCTGCTTCGCCTGTTGTGAGCGAGATGATTCCTGATCAAGCTCTTGCAAGCACCCCGCAGTTAGGTTGTGTATGCTGATATGACGGTTTGCCCGATCGAGAGCAACGACTCATATCGAGATGCCTGACAGGCACATGTCCGGTGGAACCCAAAAAAGAACCCCGGAACTACTAGTTGCTTAAGAACCCCCCCCCCCCCAAAAAAAAAAAAATATATATTATTCCTTTTAGGGCAACGTAGGGATGATTATTTTGTAATTTTGGGGGGGTTCTTAAGCAAAACGTCAAAATCCTAGTCCAAAACCCCTGCAAATGCCCCAGACCAAGCGAAACACAGGCCACCCCTGATGGGCCCGCCGCAGAGCTTCCAGCAGCAACAGAGGCAGGGGGAACCTTAGGCCTGCTGCAACCCAAAAAAGTTAGGGTTAAGCTTGCGGGTTTAGGGTTTTAGGGTTTCGGGTTTAGGGCCCAGCAGTTGCGCAAGCGTAACTTTTCGGGGACCTGAACCCTGCCACCCCCCCCCCCCCCCCCCCCCCCCCCCCCCCCCCCAAAAAAAAAAAAAAAACAGGACAGCAACGGAAGCCCCCCCAAAAATGTCTAAAGGATGCCGAAGCCTCGAACATGCTCACAAGCCCTGTAGACTCTAAACCCAAGCCTCGGGTTCAATAAGAAACCTCCGGTTCCCTCAAGCCCGGCCTGGGAGGTAACCCGCAACCTCCCTACGCCTCTGGTTTCGGGTTCAGGGTCCCTAAACCCTGAACTCCAAACTCCAAACTCTAAACCCTAAACCCTAAACCCTAAACCCTAAACCCTAAA